ACATATATATAAATATATATATATATTTTTTTTTTTTTGAGTTGGCATCTCACTCTGTCGCCCAGACTGGAGTGCAATGGCACACTCACAGCCACTACAACATCAATCTGCTGGGCTCTGGCTATCCTTCTGCCTCACCTTCTAAGTAGCCAGAACTACAGGCATGCACTGCCACACCTGGCTAAATTTTTTATTTGTTGTAGAGATAAGGTCTCGACAAGTTGCCCCAGCTGGTCTCGAACCTGCGGGCTCAGGCAATCCACCTGCCTCGGCCTCCCAAAGTTCTGGGATTACAGGCTGAGCCACTGAACCCAGCCTGCAAATATTTTTTCCATAAATTGTTCATAATTCTACCTTGAGATCATAAATATTTACCCTGCCTTTAGATGTTCCAAATAGCTTATTTATAATGGCAGTTCAAAAAGAGAAGAAATTGTGTTGGGGGGGTTGGGGGAGACAAGAAAATATTTCTTCTTTCTTCAAAACGAAATGCAAATATAAGGAGTAGAAAATAATATGGGGAGGTAGTCAAATGAATACCATGGAAAAATTCTTTTCAATACTTCCCACTTCAACTGGCCTCCTCCTTTCTAGGCTCACTCTCCAAACCCGTCCCCAGCAGATGTGCTCATTGCTATCAAGTTGGCCCTACCATCTTGGAAAAAGTCCCTTTCCACCTCACTCTGCACCTGCTGTGCTCCAGGCATCAAGCCTCTCCTCCTTATCACACATTGACACATCTCCCTGTGCTTTGCTGGGTGAGCTGTTTTTTAAACTGTATTCATCATTCATTTAAAAAAATTGGGAAGGGGGAGGTGTGGAGGGACACAAAAAATCACCTATTGGATACAATGTGCACAGGTGGGGTGGTGGGTAACTTAAAACCTAGATCAAAAACAAGTTGTATCCCCAAATGGTATTAAAATATTTTTTTAAGAAAAAAAAAAAGATAAAGACACTCCAAGATTTTTTTTAAAAAAACCTAATAAGTAAATAAATAATAAAGAAATAATTTAAAAATTGGGTGCCAATTAAATGCAAAGTACATTCTAGATGAAAAGTCTGCAAAGATAGACAGATGATAGAAACATAAATAGATAATAAGTGATAGATTTTAAGTTCTCTTCACAAAATAATGTATAATATAGAGGCAGAGGCTACTAGTAGAGGACAAAAAGTGGCCATTGACATAAAAGAGGCACAGATAAAGTCCTACAGTATTTTTTTTTTTTTGAAAGGAAGGGAAGCTGGCACTTACCCTCCTCCAAGCACTAGGCTATGTGGAATACATGCCTTAATTAATCTTCCTTTCACATGGCTAGGTCCTTCACATCCTTCAGGCATGTGTTCAAGTGTTAACTCACCCAGGAAGCCTTCCTTGGCCCTAACTCATCCTGCCCTGCCTCTATGATACCGCGATCACAGGTGTATCACATCATAGGATAATTGTCAATTTATGAACTGTCACCCCAAAAGATGGCAAGCAGGGTAGGGGACAATGCCTTGTCTTTGTACATCTTCAAACTCTCAGTTTGATGCACATAAAGCCCTTAGGAAAGGAAGGAGGAAGGGAAAGATGGAGGGAGGGGGGTGGGAGGGAGGCCTATTAGAGCTTCAGAGAAAAAGGAAACAGTGCAAACAATGTGGAATCAATAAAACAGGAGGTGGCTTCCAGGAATTGTAGTAGTGCAACTGGATTGTGTTTAAAGAATGTGGACAGGAAGATGGCAGGTGACGACTGTTGAAAATAGAAAATGGTAAATAGTTTGCAAAGTCTTGAATGTCAGACTACGGCAACTAGATTCATGCTACAGATAAGAGAGAGCCCCTGGGAGTGGATGAGCTGGGAAGAGATGAGATCAGAGCTGTGTTTTAAGGAGATTAATCTGGCAATTAGAATATTTTACCCTTCTTGATAATATATTCACCTTCCATGGGGAATTTCCCTTGCCTTAGAGCAAGGAATTCATCTAAAAGTGTGGGATTGAGCAGCCCTGATAACCATTTCTTTTACCAAAAGTGCTCAGTCCTATATGTGTGCATGTCAGCCCTGAGTAAAGTGCTGTTTTGCATTTTGTTGTTGTTGTTGTTTTAAACAATTAATGTTTATGCAACTCCCCAAGCAGCAGCCTCATAATTTTGGTGCAGCACCCTGAAACCAATTCTGAGTGATTACCCAAGGCCCAGTATGTAGGGCCTCACTCTGTCACCTAGGCTGGAGTGCAGTGGCACAATTATAGTTCACTGCAGCCTTGACCTCCTAGGCTCAGACAACCCTTCTGCCTCAGCCTCCTGAGTAACTGGGACTACAGGCATGCGCCACCACTCCCAGCTATTTTTTTTTTTTCCTTTGTAGAGATGAAATTTCGCTCTATGGTTCAGGTTGATCTCAAACTCCTGGGCTCAAGTGATCCCCCCACCTCAGCCTCTCAAAGTACTGGGCATGAACCACCGCCCCCAACCTAGAAATAATTTGTAAATGATGCTTCATCCAAAGAGAAAATATCTTTTAATTTATGAGAAATATTTTACTTAAGTGATGAATTACAAAGAATAAAACAATACTACAAATTAGACTATTATCCTTTGATAATCATATATTATTCATTTTAGCTGCCATAAGCCAGTTTCTATAACAATGCCTATGTACCAGATCAACAAGTAATAATTTAGATAAAAATTATATTTTAAGATTGTCAAGTTACATAAGTAAACATTAACATTAAACACGAAGGTTCAATTAATATTTTGTTTTTAATGCCATTTATTTTCTCTAATTTCTCAAACCTATTGCTGATCAGAAAAATAACTGCAAAGAATATGTCTGATAAGACAGTGTTACTGAGCCATACTGTATAAAGGAGATACTGGAGTCATTGATATTACTCAGATAGAATTCTGGAATTGTCTTTTTAGAGACCATGTGTTTAATAATCATCATCTCAGAAAAGAAGTGGATTACACTGTGGTTGAAATAGTTTTAATATAAAAGTAAATCAAGTCACTGGACATGAACCATCTTTCAGTTTTTGTTTAAAATCTCAAGATGGATCATTGAAAATTCTCAAGTTGTATGTACAACTAAAAAAGAAATTAACTCACAGATTCGCATTTTCCTATTGCTCTAAACTTTGACAAACCATTCTCTTTTCCACAGTACTTCCCTGGGTTGAATGAAGGGCCAAACAAAGCAGTCTCCTCATTCTCCATGCTGTGATGGAGGCTTCTCCTCTAATGGTTCTAAGGGCTATGGTGCAAAGCCCTGGAGACACGTTGTGAGATGATGGGTGAACAGATGTTTGCCCAGAAAGTCATGGACTACCACTGGCTTTCCAAAAAATGCAGTCACTTTTGAGCTTTGCTGAATCTTGATATAAGCTTACTACTTAAATTACAGGAAGTTCATTTCCTTTGATCTGGAATAATCATTTTCCCCTTCCCCCCATTCCATTCAGGGTGAAGCAGAATGATCATTACAAAAAAAAAAAAATCATTCAATAAGTTCCCAACAGACTTGTCCTGCTAAATTAGTCCTCACAGTTTCACTTTCTGCTCCCACAAGCCCGCATGAATCTCTGCCCAGCCTGCTTCACTGAGATCCACAAACATCATTAAGTTCTTTTGAAGAGAGAGCTGTTTCTGATCCTGTTGGACTTTTGGAGTTAAATATGCACATGCATTTTTGGTCTATCAGCATTTCTACAAATTCTCTTTTTCCACAAATATTCATATGCACATAAATATATACATAGGTAATTTTTAAAATTTTATATCTAGAAGAAGATTGAGAATTGAGAATCTTTTTATATCATTTCCACATGAAAAGTAAATTGTAGTTAAGTACATAAGCAAAGAGCAAGTATCTATTGCTCAATTTATCCTCAAAAATCTTGCATTCTAATACCTGCTCTAGGTAAACATTTGCCCTTTTTTGGACCATCCACATCTTCACTATATAATCTTACTTAATAACTGCTTTGCCAACATCCTAATTCCCTTCGTTTTTATTTTTAAAGCAGAGGGATGCTTTAAAACTCAGATACTTTGCCACTTATTCTTTTCCAGGAAAACCTGTATACAAGAATATATTAAAAATCTTGCCTTCTCTCTGGGAGAAATGTGTCTACTCCCATATGTGTTCAAGAAAAAATAGTTGTGTTGATATCTCGATTCCTTCAACATCTGAATGCCACAGAGTCCTTTGGAACAAATTCTCTTCTAAATCCCCTTCTCCATGAAATAATTTGCAAATTGTAATTCTTAACCTTCATCAGAGAAAAGCTGTCTATTTCAGAGGAATATGTAGAATAAAATGTCTCTCGTGGTCCCCACTAGGTGACTTTGTCTAATGTAAATTTCTAGATTAGACACCCACGACATAAGAACAAAAACAAGCCGGGCTCGATGGCTCAGCCTGTAATCCTGCGTCTTTGGGAGGCTGAGGTGAGTGGATTGATTGCCTGAGCCCGCGGGTTCGAGACCCACCTGGGCAGCAAGACCTCATCTCTACAATAAATCAAAACATCAGCCAGGCGTGGTAGTGTATGCCTATAATTCCGGCTACTTGGAAGGCTGAGGCGGAAGGATCACCGGAGCCCAGCAGGTCGAGGCTACGGTGGCCGGGAGCGGCCACTGCACTCCAGTCTGGGCAACAGAGTGAGACCCCAACTCAAAAAAAAAAAAAAAAACTTTCAAGAGTCAAATCATTTATCTATCAATTTAAGTAACTTGTGCCTATATATCCTCTACTATATATTTTTTTATACCAAAGTATCTTGAAATGTTTGAAAGAAATAGTCTATAGTTTATATAGTAAAAGTTATTCTAATTCATGTGAAATGATGTCTTACAGTATGAGATTTCATACTTCATGCTAAGACCAGAACCCAAATTCTCAGTATTATCCCCAGGGTATCCTGCAGGTGCTACAGGACCAACCTCAAAGGGACCATTGTGCCATGTCGCCACTGCAGCTTTGAAGACACATGTCATTCACAACTCTAGTCATCCAGAATAGTTGATGCCGTGTTTTTGGGAAGCTCACTGCACCCGGAAGCTGAAGTCAGTTGGATACTCTTGTCTGTGGTGGAGACTCTTCCACCAACAGTTTTGTTGGTGTTCCTCTGTGGCCTCAGCAAAATAATGAAGCACTTAGTAACAAAAATACAACCTAACAAACCATAGCTGGATGACAAGATTGCAAAAATCTCCACAGCCACTTTGAATTTGCCTTTGGTGCTTAAATAAGCAGGAACAAAAGAAATCCAGACAATGAAAAAGACCAGCATCCCAAAGGTGATGCATTTTCCCTCATAGTAATTATCCGGCAACTGGCGTGCCACAAAGGTCGTAAGAAAGCACAGCAAGGCCAAGAAGGCATCAATCCCAAACATCAAGCACAAACACTCTATGGAACCTTCACTGCATTCCAGAATGATCTTTATATTTTGAGATTCCATGTTCTTGTATACTTTTGGAGGTTCTAATACCAGGTAGACTGTGCATATGCCACTCTCAACTAGAACAGAAATCAGTACAATGATTTTCCGGTAAAGGGGGCGCATGGATGTAAGTCGGGTTTTGGATTTGGAAATTCTGTAGGCTAAAAACAGTGAAATAGCCTTTCCGAGGATGCAAGATAGGCAAAGAGAAAAGCCCAGGGCCAGGGTGACCTGGCGGGCCATGCAGGACCAGCCATATGGCTTGCCAATGAAAAGCATGGATGACAGCAGCGTGATGGTAAGAGAAATCAGAATAAGAAAGCTCAGGTCCCGGTCATTGGCGTTCACCAGGGGAGTGTGCCTGTACATCGCATACACAGTTGTGACTGCCAAGACCCCAAGGGCCCCAGAGATGGAGAGAATAATGAGCGTGATTCCTAAGGCCTCATCGTAGGCAAGGAATTCCACTTCCTTAAGCACACACTTGCTCTTTTGTGTGTTCGACCAGTAGTCTTCACCACATCATTCACACTTCCTTTGACCTATCAAACAAAGAATGGAGAATGAATTGCAAGGAAATCCAATTGTCCTCTTCTATTGTGAATAGCCTAGAACAGACAGATGCCTAGAATAGGAACTTGCTGAAAATCCCTTTATATAGAATATTTATCATATCTCAGAAGGAGTGGTGATAAAATGGCCTTAGAGTGTGCAGGTGATATTACAAATTGAGATTTATTTTCAATTTTGGAAATTGACACTCTTCTCCGTGTCAGCCTTTCCTGCATTGGTCTTTTCTGGTAACATGCTTCTTTCTTTCTACTTAAATTGTCTAGTTGAGAAGGGTCGTGTGTATCCCATAAACCTGAGAATAATCCACAAGTGAGAAAATATATATATATATACGAGACAATTAAAACTGCTGAGATAAAATAATAAAGAGGATTGTGACAGGGTTATGATTGATTAAAATATGAATGCTTTTAGTCTTTCATTCAATGTCACCCCCACAGAGGAGAATGTTGTGTTGGCCCACTCAGTTTCTCCTCTCCTCACCCTCCAGATGCAGATCTGAGGAACAGTTAGAAGAACTGAGGATAAGAAGGGAAGCAAAAGCGATGCCACGGTGCCTGAGGCTGAGAAAGGTTCAGGGCATTTGGCCGGGTGGAGGCTCAAAGGGAGACTATCTAACAGAGAAAATGCTATTTGAGATGAGTTTACAGTAGATTATAACATAGAACTCTTTCATGTTCTTTGAAAGATGCAGGTAAAGATTATAATTCCCTTTCCATCATTTCTCGTTGCTAGACTGGACTTCTTAGGATGCAACTCTGCAGAAACATTGGGCCACATGGGGAAGTTGTTTAGGTTACATCATGCTTGTTTTCCATTTGGGGAACATTTTATGTTTGTAAAATTTTTTTTACAAACATAAAAAAAATTTTGTCTTTTTACTTTATTGTATTATAATGATGTGGGGTACTAGTCAGGATTGGGTACATAAATAATGTATATGTATATGGACCTGCCTTCAACAGGTCACTTCCCCAGGGTTTAGGACCAAGCGCCCTTTGTGTTGTTATGTGCCCCCCATGAATTGCTATTGAGGGCCATTTGACAAAAGACAAGTACAACTTGTGTTATCTCTAACAGAAGGTAGAGTTAAAAATAAACCTGTTCCAACATGCTTCACATGACAGCACACTAGACCCAACTACAACTCTGGTTATCAAGAGCAGCAATTTAGCAGGCTGTAGTGAAGAACTCTTAGAGCAGTGGTTACGAAATTCATCTGTCTTACTAACTTGCAGTACTTACAACCTTCAGCTAATTGTCTTTAGGGATGGGACTCTAGATATTACAGTTCCAAATGGAATTGAGTACCTCTACTTGGAAATAATTCAGCAAAACATAGACCTGTAAATCACCTTTTTTCCCAATTATGAACATAAGAAATGTTTCATCTATTTCAGAAACTGAAATAATTTTAAATACTTTTTACGAATGCATAGTATTCCAATTATTATTCATATGAATTTCAATACACATGTCACATTTTATATATTTCATTTTGCATTTTCCTCTATTAGCTTCAAGTTTGTAAGTCTTTTCTAAATTGTAGCAGCTTTAAAACTGCTACAGCACCTCTTATCAACAAGGGTGCCTGAATGAAACATATTTGTATACCTAACCTTTAACTGTACCCCACAATATCATAATAAAAAATATTGATTATAATAAAAAAAACTGCTACAGCTTTAAACCCAATACTATGGTGGTTTTTCAGACATAGAACATCCACTAATTTGAGGGATTACAATGATTTTATAATGATTTATAATAAGTTGCTCACCCTTATTTATAAGGAAGGTGACTGAGGCCCTCTTTGTCAACACATATTTAATATAATTCCATCTCAATAGTAATGAAAAAAATGACCATCTCTACCTGGTTCCCATGACACATGTCCATCAGCACATGGGATGCAGTTAAAGCAACACATTGGTTCCCCATGACGAATTCCCTTTCGGGTCCCGGGAGGACACACATCAGTACACACTGAATGGGGAAGCTAGCAGAGACAAATAGAATATAACGTAACAAAACCCTTGTCTCTACTAGTCTGAGAAGGAGAAATTTCCCATTTGAATTTCCACAGAAGCTCTGTCATATCCTGGGAAACCCAGGATACCTAGGTGAGGCCAACAGACAAAGAGAGTATCAATATAGGAAGGTTAGAGAGGAATTTTGCTAAAAGACATTCTTGTGGTAGATTCTAGAAATGCAACACTACCTCTCTTTCTAACCTTGGGGATCCAGACCAGGCTCCATTTCCATGGGACTCTGGAGATGGGACCATTTGTGTTCCTACATGTGGAGGACCTGTGATCCCCAGGAATCATCTTGGGAACCTAAAAAATATTTTTTCTCAGCAAGGTCTTAAAGTCAAAAATGCGTCATGATGGGTCAGTAGAAGAAAAAAATGAAAGATCTGTTCTATTGGAAAAATTGGGAGGGCAAAAGGGAAAGCAGACAAGACACAACACTGGAGGATTTTCTTTTTAAATACATTTAGAAATCCCAATAGTAAGCACAGGCCTCCTTTTACATTCTACTTGGATGCGTACCTTGAAGCCCAGAAGAAGTGCAATGTTGTAGATTGGTTTGTATCTTAATCTAGTGGGAAGTTTTCTATTTAGAAGGGAGATCAAATGTTTTTCCCCTTAGCAAAAACCATTTTGGAAAGTGAATAATCACATTCCTATTTATTTTGAAAATCAGAATTTTCATATGTTGAATTTTTCAAGGTAAATTGGAATTAGATAGAAAATATTAAAAATCTCTGGCCAGGCTTGGGGCTCAGCCTGTAATCACAGCACTTTGGGAGGCCAAAGCGAGTGGATTGCCTGAGCCCACAGTTTAAGACCAGCCCTGGCAACTTGGCGAGAACTCGTCTCTACAATTAATTAAAAATTAGCTAGGCATGGTAGTGTGTGCCTGTAGTTCCGGCTCCTTGGAAGGCTGAAGCAGAAGGATCGCCAGAGCCCAGCAGGTCGACACTGGGGTGACTGTAAGTGTGCCACTGCACTCCAGCCTGGGCAACAGAGTGAGACTCCAACTCAAAAAAAAAAAAAAAACTCTGAGTTAGGTTATGGTATGTAACATTACAGAAGTATATATATAAGAGTAGAATAGCTTCTTATTGGCTTTGTATGTATATGTAACATCATATTTTAACTGCACTTTGAAAAGTAGTTATTATAGGAAAGAAAGACAGGCATTCTCAAATCCTAAAAGATAAACAAGAAACTCACCATAAAATGAACTAGAATTCCTCTCTCCTGACCCAAGCTTCTGGAAAGAACACTCCATATTCCTTTTTTTGGAAAATTACCATGAACAGTGAGCTGATGCCTTTTGGTTTTGTTTCTAAGAATCCCTTCCCTTTCCAACTTCTGGATCTGGCTTGCAACCCACTCACTTCACTAAAACTCTTCTCACCATGTCTGTAAAGCTTCTCCTCTAGCCTCATTCTCCTTCAGCTTTCTTCAATACTTGACACTCTTGATCAACTTCTCCTTGAAATGCAGCTCCCTTTGCTTTCTTGGGTTCTTTTATGTCTTTTCTTGATCCTATCTCCACCTTCCTCATCAGTGTGGGCATTTTCTCGGGTTTGATCCTTGATCCTCTGCTTTTGTCTCTGGATGTAAAATTAGTCATTCATTTTCTTATTGTCAACCAGCATCTCTACAGAAGAACTCCCAAACCTTGGCCTCTAATTCCATACTCAAAACTTCCAACATGTTCCTACTTTGAGATCCCACCATCACCTCAAATTTATCATGTCTTAAACTACTCTCATCAATTCTATTCCTTTTCCCAAATTACTCAATTCCAACTCATCCATCAGCTCCAACTTTATATCCTATTACTTGCCTGTAAGAACCCTCTCTGCTACTCAGGCCCATCTTCCCACCAACCACCAGATTCAGTTTACCATTATGACTTAAATCATTCCTTATAGTGTCCTCTAATTGTCTGATGCAAGATACTTCCATGTCCAATTTATCAGCAAGCCCAGCATCTTCTACCCATAAGAAAATGACTTGTTGCCATATTCATCACATTCATCCTGCTCCAAGCTAACTTCATTATTTTGGATGGTTCCACGGTCTTCAAACCGTTTTCTTTGTTCTGGTCTTGTGCCTTCTTTCCTTAGTCTGTTTACAATATGGCCAACAGAATGAGCCTCTGGCCCTCTAAGTCAGATCATGACTAGCCTCCGCCAAGACTTCATGGCTTCCCTTCTTACTCAGGGCCTTGCATGCATGATCTGACCTCTGTCCTCTCTTTCCTTCTTCCCTACTCTCCCTCTCTTTCACCCTTTCCAACTGCAGTGACCTCTTTACTGTTCTCCCAAAGTGCCAAGCACACCTCAGACTCAGGGTTCAGAAGTGTGTGTTCCTTCTGCCAGAAATAGATTCCCCCTAGCCAATGCATGAATTCACTTCCTTTTAAATTTTCATTGGAATGTCAACCCGGTGAGGCTTTCCCTGACCACACTCTATGAAACTTGAGTGCAACACTCCCTCAGCACTCCCTGCCTCAGGACCTGCTATTGGCTTATCCGTAACATCCTCTTTCAGATACTATGCAATGTCTCTCTTTATCTTGTTGGTTGCCTATTTTCTCCCACTGAAATATTAGCTCCGTTAGATAGTGATTTGTTCTATTCTGTATACTGATGTAGCCTCAGTTCATGTGTATATGTTATTGTTCTCAGTAAATATTTGCTCAGTTAGTTAATGAATTAGATTATTGGTTCTTTGAGGGCGGTGGCCTTTTCTTGCCGTGGTAACCTAGTGTTGGACTCATTGTAGTTGTTTAGTAAATATGTACTGAATTATGTTTGAAGCAATTTCGTTACACAAATAGAATCCCATTTTAATACAGAAGAAAAATAAATAAAATTATTATACTCTACTGAAGCACTATCAAAATAGAAATCTCCTTGTATATTCTTTTTCCATCATTCTATTTTTTTTCTTTTTCTTTTTTCTTTTGCGTCAGAGTCTCACTCTGTCACCCAGACAGAAGTGTAATGGCACAATCATGACTCACAGCAGCCTTGAACTCTCCTGGGCTCCGGCAATCCTTCCACCTCAGCCTCCTGGGTAGTTGGGACCTCTGGCATGTGTCAGCACAACCAGCTAATCCTTTTTTTTTTTTTTGGTAGAGACAAGATCTCCCTATGTTGCTCAGGCTGGTCTCAAACTCCTGAGCTCAAGAAATCTTCTCACCTCAGTCTCCCAAAGTGCTGGGATTACAGTTGTGAGCCGCAATGCTCAGCCTATTTTTCTATCAGTCCTTAATAGAGCAAGTATTCTATGAATTTTGTATATGTAAACAATAGCATCTTCCCTTTTTTCCATGTTAAATTGTATATTGAGTACTACTATATACCCAGCAAAAGGAAGACAAAAGTGGAACCTCAAGCCCCATTCAGGCAGAGAATGGTGAGCCACAGAAGATGGTTTCTGCAGTGACAGAAATGTTCTATATCTGTGCTGTTCTGTATGGGTCCTAACTACATGTAACCACTTAGAACTTAAAATGCTGCTAATGTAACTAAGGAGCTGAATTTTACATTTTATTTCATTTTAGTTATTTTACATATTTAAAGCTGCCTGTGGCTAGACGCTACTGTATGAACAGAACAGCTCTAGGTAAAAGAAAGAAAATGTGACAGAGAACTTTGGCCCCTACAGTGGCAAACACTGACAAGCTACTATTTTTACATCCAGCCATAATGTATTCAAGTGCTAGTTAAGGATAGCCAAGAAAAGGAGAAACTTGTGTGTGTGTGTGTGTGTGTGTGTGTGTGTGTGTGTGTGTGTGTTGTGTGCGTGCTCACGTGCATGTTCTGTGAGTATGCGTTTATCTATCGATGTTTATCACTAACCACAGAAAGCAGAAAGGAGTAGACTGACTGACAGATCAAGCTCTCATAAATGCCTGGCACAGCACAGGAACTCACAAATCTTCAGTTCCTTGTCATTTATTTATAGCTGCTTTCCCAGCCTGATTTGGAAGACTACTTAGGGATCTTAGACTTGAGGTCAAGAGGGAAGATGCATGAATAATATATAAGATAAAAAAACACCCCTTCCCTCCAAAAGAAAGACCCACGTCAGCAAAGAAAAAGCATCTTCTGACTATACTGACACTGCTTTCATCTCTCTCACTCTTCTGGTTCCTCCATTCTGAGATTTACATGGGAGATTAACTTGCCAATGCTTTTCTGTCATCCTATCATTTTACTGTACTCTATAGGTCACCCTGAAAGAAACACTAAATTATCAAAAGCTCTATAATGCGACTTTCCTGAACTAAAGATTTTGCTGAAGGTAAAAAGTTCAGCTGTCTGGAAAGTAATAGGATTTCCTCTTTTTTAATTTCAATTTTTATTTTTATAAAGATAGAGTCTTGCTCCATCTACTAGGCTGGAGTGCAGTGGCATGATCATGGTTCAAGGCAGTCACGAACTCCTGGGCTCAAGCAATCTTCCTGCCTTAGCCTTTCAAGTAACTAGAACTACAGGTGTGCACCTCCACACCTGGCTAACTTTCTCATTTTTTGTAAAGACAAGATCTTATTAAGTTGCCCTAGTTGGTCTCAAATTCCTGGCCTCAAGCGATCCTCCCGCCTCAGCCTCCCAATGTGCTAGGATTACAGGCATGAGCTAATACAACTAGCTGGAGTTTCTTCTTAACCTCTGGGAAGTGAGAGGGTTTTTGTTCAACTTTCCCCAACACTTCTCTAGGTGTTATATTTACACTGTGTGCCAAGGAGACCAGTCTCTAGCTCACCAACCACTTCCCTTATAAAATAAGATCTGCTATCCTGCAATGAGCATCCCTCCTGATAAGAGAAGAAAGGTAAAAATAATAATTAAGTAATAATGATTAATAAATAATAAAAATAGCAATAATGATTAAAAAATACTTGTTTTTTATCTGATATAAGCACTTTCTATCCAACACATCTAATTCTCCAAGCTTACCTCTTCTACCTCCCAGAACAATTTTGGAAAAATACTTTGAAAATAATTTTGAAATATATGAAATTCATCTTGTTTCTCATATAATATCCTAATATAGGATTTTTGTCAATGGTATATTAAAGTTTATGGCCATGTATGTGCATCCATACATATACCATACTGGTAACCAGTGTTTCCTACCACAAATTATATTATAAATTTGTAAATTTTACTCAGAAAAGAAAAAGACAACATTATTTCAGAAACTGAGATAAAAGTTGCAAGGCATTCAAAAAAAGAAGATATTTGAATGAAAATTTAATCGGTGTCTTTGAATAAAGGCCAGAAACGAATCAGAGCAATTAAAAATGAGATAAAATGAAAGACAGACAAATGAGGTAAAACATAAGTATGATTGGAGTACTTGAAGAAGAAAAACAAAATAATAAAACTAATATTTAAAACTATCATCCAAGAAAATATTCCAAAACTAAAAGATCTGAATCTATGCATATGTACCATACATACACTCATTTGGAAATGGCCAACTCTAGGTATTTCCTTAAATTCCTGAAATGATATAGAAATGCAATTCTCTATATAGATAAACAAAATAAGATGTCAGAATAACTAACCTCTGATGATTCAGTGTTCCAAAATATTGTCGCATTTCTTGGAATCACAAGTTCATGCTTAGAATTTGTGAATGTATACTCTCCAACCTTCACAAAGGCAATATTTCCATTATCATCTAATTGCCAATTTAGAATATCATAGTGTCCAGTCACATCTCCATTTTCATCAATCTCCACTCTCCTTCCATCATGGGTTGTAAATGTAAGTGTCTTCAAATAGTACATTAGCTAGAAAACAAGGGGAAAAAACAACAGGAAAAAAAGCAATTTGTAAAAAAATGTGTACAGAAAACAGAATTTTATAACGAAAATCATTTGGACTCATATCTAATTCATGGGATGGAATTTTTCCCACTTCTTCTACATCATTGTCGTCTATTACAACCTCTAGCCACATTTGGCCATGAAACTTGAAAGTTGCTTGGCCAAATTAAGATATGCTGTAAGTGTACAATATACACTGGATTGTAAAGACTTAGTTCACAAAAAAGAATGTTTGCTATCTCATTAATTTCACACTTTATATTATTTATATTAATTATATTATATTACTGATGACTAAACTCTCACCTTTTTTCTTTACCTTGCCAAATTCCCAACTTTATTTTTTATTTTTTTTGAGTTGGAGTCTCACATTGTCGCCCAGACTGGAATGCAGTGGCCGCTCCCAGCCACCGCAGCCTTGACCTGCTGGGCTCCGGCGATCCTTCCGCCTCAGCCTTCCAAGTAGCTGGAACAACAGGTGCGCACTACCATACCCGGCTCATTTTGATTTATTGTAGAGATGAGGTCTCGCCAAGTTGCCCAGGCAGGTCTCGAACCCGTGGGCTCAGGCAATCCACTCACTTCAGCCTCCCAAAGCGCGGGATTACAGACTGAGCCACCAAGCCCGGCTAAACTCCCAACTTTTAATGTAATTTCCTTTCCAATCAGGATCTGGCATAACATCACATAACAGATAAAGAAGGAAAAATCAAAGAATTTGTATGACCCTGTAAAACTGTCTTTTGGTGATTCCAGTTACCTTTCAAGGTAACTCTCTGAAGCCTGCCACCATCCATAAAGCTTCATCTACATATCAAGAAACTTGGCTCCCTTATTGTTTTCAAACTGCCCCATATCCTTTACTGCTCTAAAATTCCTTAGGTAACTAGCTGACTAATTGTCAGTCAAAAAAATATTTGAATCCACCCACAACCTGAGGGCCCCATTTGGAAATGTCCTCTCTTTCTGGGCCAAACTAATATAAATCTCACCTGTATTGGGTTATGGTTTCAACCACAGCAGGCACACATTCTCAGGACCTCCTGGGGACAGATGCCACAGGCCTAGGTCACTCACATTTGTCCCAGAATAAACCATCTTAAATGTTTTAGAGTTTGGCATCTTTCATCAGCATTATAATGATAATAATTACATGTTAAAATACTATTTGAGGTATGTTGGATTAAATAAAATAAATTCTCAAATTTAATTTTGTTTCTATTTTTTAAACTCATCTACTAGAAAGAGATAAAGGCTATGGAAAAAAGATAAAGTAGAGCAGAAGGAAGAGTAGGAAGCCCATGAGAGGAAAATGGGGGCACCATGGAAGCCACAGTTTTAAATCAGATGATTAGGTATATGTGACGTAGAAGGTGATATGTTACCAAAGACAGAAGGAAGCACAAAAGTTCATCAGAAGGTAAGTTTTCAAAGGCCTTGAGGCAGAATTATGCCCAGAGGGTTCAAGGGACAGCCAAAGAGCCTGGGTGGATGGAACAGGTAAGCTCAGGGGAGAGAAGGAAGGGAGATTAGAGATCACATAGGGTTTGTGTGTCATAGTAGTGTTACCAGGTGGGGTGAGGCTCTGTGGGTTCTTTGGCCCAAACCCAGAAAAGTGTTAAACCCAAATTTCAGAATCCGAGAGACCAACAAAGAGCCAGCTCTGATGCAAACACACAAGGGTCTTTATTCAGGCTCGAGTCTGGGCTCATGCCCGAAGCAGCAGCTTCAGGGACGAGAGCCGCGATCCAGCATGGCAAACAGTTTTTATATATCATTACAGAGGGAGGGGAAAGAACTTTAAACTTGTTTTTACATGATAGGGTAATTTCTCCTAATGGGTACGGGGGCACTTGGGGTTGATCTGGTCTGCTCAGCTACCTGTGATTGATGGGGGAGCTGCTAAATGAGCAGAGTGGAATGTCAGCAGGCAGGCTAAGCAAAGGGAGGGGTTTATTACTTGACATTCACATACTGCTAGCAGCAGTGGCGGAAGCAATCGGTTATTTTATGAGACAAACAAAAATTAAACTTAACAAAATTCTAAGTACAAACACTGCAAACAAATACAGTGAACGTGGGGTAGGAATTCATATAGTAATAGTTCTCTTAGAGTGTTTTTTTTTTTTTTAATCTCTTGGGTCTCTCATTCCCCCCTCTCAGAGGGACCTATAGATAAGACCCAATCATGGGTCTACATAGGTTTTTTTTTTTAAGACCATTCTGAAAATGGGTAGGAGAGTTGAGACACCAAGGATGAGTACCAAGCGGTTGGCACTGGTGCTTGAGTACCATGAGTTGAACAGTGCTGACTTGATTTTTAACAAAGGCTACAAGCTTGTTGATGATGCAAGGCCCGAAAATAAGTAGGAGAATTAAAACAACTAAAGGGCCAACTATGGTGGAAATTAGTGTAGTAAACCAAGGGGTGCGGTTAAATCATGCTTTAAACCAATTGAGTTGTTGCTCTTGTTCTCTAAAATTACAACAGTAGGAAATAGAGACAATGAAATTTGTAAAATTAACTGTATCTTATTAAACCTTAAAATATTATGATTGGTCATGCTTGAACTAACATGATTCTTTGACGTTAGCATGACCTATTTTAAAATAATTTGAAACCTTACATTATTGTAGTTAAAACTGGCCTAAAAGATGCAGCCCAGTCTAAAGTATGCGCTGGGCTCTC